ATGGCGAAGTTATATGCCATATCGAAATATACGATATCTGTAATTAATTCCCGAATACTGCTGTTTTTTATGATTAGCTAAGGAGTGACCTCGCCGATCGAAAGTTAATACAATATACACATAACTCCGTTACGTTGAAATTTTTATGGTAAAAGATGAAGTTTCTTGCCAGTCAGGGGAAAATTCTTTGAATAACGTGAAATGGGACAGTAATTTTCACATTTAACGACTTTTCCTGAAAAAACTACGAGGTATACTTTAATCGTCAGTTTATCAGCTACGCGGGATCTCATGAAAGGAATAGAAAGACCGGAGAACAACAAGAAGAGGCCTTTTAAAGGATTCCCACAGCTACCGGCACCATTATTGCTGGATCAATCGATCGTAGCTATCGTCACGATGCTAGAATTTAAGGGAACCATAGATTTTCCATTTCTTTTGCCTCTTGCCGACAGGCAATTGTTTTTCTTCAGATCTTTAAGGCAGTTCTGTCGATAATAAAATTAATATAAAATGTTGACTCGTTCTGCGAATTCCTTTTTATCTCTTTGTTATTTCAGAATAAATATTTTAACGCTGTGTCCAATCGGTTATATAATTAGTAATAGGTTCCCACACGTGACTAGTGTGAACTATATTTTAGCTTCTTTCTGCGATTCCCGATAGGTTAGTGAATATCGAATTCTGTGGTGATTAGACACGCCACACGGGCGGTAAATCAATTTCCAACGGATCTTCGTGAAATAATTTTTTGTTCGAAAAATTTTACCTATTGTGCAAGCGACGAGATGAAGATTAATGAATCTTCGTCTCGTTCTTTAATTGTTTTGACATACGTTAAATTGAATAGTGCGATGTTTAGGAATTCTATTAAAACTGCAATTTGGATACACATAGAAAAGCTATTTATCATCATCAAAAACGTTATGTTTTTTTATAGTCATTTATTCTCGTTCCTTCGCCAGAATTTTAGAAGTTCTCCAGAGTTTTTGATTTGAGTAAAGAGACATTGTTCAATATATTAATCCTTAAAATAAATATTCTACAGTGTCTTTATACGAGAAATCTAATAAAAATTTAAATCATGGTTTTTGCAGATCTAAGGATAATTTATCCTTGTACAAAGTTGTATACAAAATTGTAAGGCTTTGTTTACGATGAACTACTTGAACGATTCGCGTAGCGATAGTGATGTAGGATGAAACGCATAATTCAAATTTCGACTGTTTCATTCAGTGAATATGAAAAGCGATGTAATCGGTGGAAATGATTCAAGAATTTGATAGTGGGTGCTACTTCCGACACGTTCCATTGTTGTACACGTCTTTCCAGTTAAGCTGACCCATTTTAAATCGTTCCGAATCTTCTGCCAAACGAGGAAGTAAGTGGGTACAGATAACGTCGCGCATATATCAGCTGGCGGCAGCCATATAGTAGGCTATATGGCGTTTCTGCGCAATTCTATACACGAGAGGATAACCGTTGGCCGCACTGATGCAACTCAATGTTCTTCCCGCGAGTTCCTCTCCTCACTGTGCACTTTCCTTCTTCTTGTCCATAAGGGAGTTTAACAGAAATCGTCTGAACCGTTTTGTGCAGCGGAGGTCGTTTGGTTCCGGTGGAGCAATGTTCGCCGATCAGGATACTTTTAGAATAGTCAGGCGATCGTTATTGATGCGCCATAAACGAAGAATGTCCTACGAGATACGCATATTACGCTTTTTCTATTAGTTATTTATATAATGTATATTTTTACATTTATTTTACAATATCTACTATCAATAATTATAACGAAATATTAATGTAACTAATGTGGCACCTATAATATTGAACAAGTAATTTCTATGAAATAAATTCTCTCAAATAGCCATATAAATTGAAAGATTATACACTCAGAAGACGAGATTAAAAGCCCTTCATCAAATACACATAAATTTCCATAGTCGTTATCCACGCTTGGTGACTACCGGAAAAGTTTACGATCCAAAGACAGTTATGCTAAGCTAGTAGCGTATAAATCATCATTCAATTTCTTTACGAGGTCGATTATATTTATTGTTAGTGTCACTAAAAGTGTTTACTTATATAATCCAGTTAAAACCAAAACTGAACACACTGAACATTGAATAAAATTGGATGATCTGAGTTTTTTTTAGTAGTTACGTGGATTAGTGTATTACA